ATCACCCAAGACCATGCACCAAAGGAATGCCAGGGAGAATATAATGCAGTGTCAAAAAAGATCAATACGCCCTTAATCCCAAGTAAGTTGGGTTGGCTATATAAATCCTTGTCCATGTCTCAGGCCAATATCAATAGAAAACACATAGAGATAAATTTACCAGAGATTTTCACCGGAAGAAGTGTCCCTGCAGCCAACGAAACCACTAAAACATTGTTGAGAATCCCCCTCGCCCTCCTTGATTATGTACTGATCACAGGAAAAGAATCCAAAATTAGTACATAAATTCATATCTAGGTCAGCAACTGAAAAGGAACCACACATCGGATTGCAACTTTACTCGTTTAATCTTGAAAAATATTTATTGAATGGAAGAGAGGTAGTTTAGTAAAGAAAAGTTTGCATATGGTCAAGTGATTTGGTGTAGCACTTGAAATGTTTTCTTTGTAAGACATGATCATCTATCCTGAATCATTCAAAACTCAACCTCTTTATGTTATAAAACCATGTAACAAAAAATATTTAGAAATCGCATATGATCAAAGTGATTTGGTGAATCATTCAGACATCAACTTTTTTTTTTTATTTTTTTTTTTGTGGGCTGAGAAGGGAGGCAGCATCTGAATCAGGAACCCTTGGAGCTTCTTAGAAAGGTAGTCAAGTAATATAGTTCCATATAAATAACAAATTAAAGAGTAACTTTTCAGGGCACAAAAATCTTATGCAGGTTTCAGTTGGAAAATAAGACATTAAATTCATGAGAGAGTCCAACTACTCAAAACGAACATGATACTGAAACAATATAAAACGGAAACATTAAACACTAGAACCGGCTTTTGTAATATATATGACAATTACTCGTAATGCACACAAGGGTTCTACTACGATCAGCAAATTATTTTTTCCTGTTTGACAGTACGTGTCGAACTAGAAGAGGCATAGCAAAGTTTATTATTACTGTCAAAGACCATTATAAAGCATATCTCGTCTGGGGAGAGGCTAAAATCTGTGCCACCAATAGTGAAGGAGACACTAGGCATGGAAGAAAGGCTTACACAGTCAACAGATGATTCTCCAGAAGCTCCTTGGTTAATCATCTCGACTTTAGGCTGCAAGAAAAGATGCTAATTCATCTATAGGCTGCAAGAAAAGATGCTAATTCATCTATAATTGCCAAGACAAAAGACTGCAGATTTTCCTTAATATTATATATACTGTCAACATTTGCAAATTATATAAAGTCAACAAGATAAAACCTTGCTACTGTTTTCAAGTCGGGTATTTTCTTCTCAAATGGAAGAAATCGAGAAAACATCGGGACAAAAGCAGAAGAAAAAGCATCATCATGGTGATAAAAAAAACAGCATCATAAGCAAGAAACTCAAAGCAGCAATACCTACTGAGCCAGCTTTAAACATATCAAAGATTGCGCTTGCAATATCCGAAAGTTGCACAAGACCCCCTTTAACCTCGCTCGCGTGTTAGCTTGCTTGTACTATCGCTTGTCTGCCTGGCTGCTTTCTCGCTAACTTCATTAAGATCGACAACAATGTCTAAATGCTGATTGAAACATGTGGGATAAAATAAGAATCTGGATATTTATAAAGGAATTACTTCCTCCGACAAGCAATGAAAGTTGTTTTTCCTGAAAAACATTTTCCAAATTTCAAGGTTACCAAACACTGGAAATATATCCTATTTCCAATGGCTGGTCAGTTTTAGTTCACTAGCCTTGCTTAACACTCTGTTTGGATTATTTTTATTCATCGTTTCATAATGTATTGTATTGTATTGTATTATATCGTATTGTATTGTATCATTTTATGAATACAATATTTGGATAGATTGTATTGTTTGTTGTTGTTAAATAATATTTTGCTGTTTGGTTTAACTGTATCGTACTGTATTGTAACTGATAAGTTTACTAAAATACCCTTACTTGTTTTAAATATTAAATTTATCAAGAATTACGCATAAAAATAATTTAAGAAAAATCCTTTCTACTAAAATCAAAGAGCAACTATCATTAGAAAAATAATACTCCATCCGTTCCAGTTTATGTGAACCTATTTTCTTTTTGGTCCGTTCCAAAAAGAATGATCCCTTTCTAAATTTGAAAATAATTTTGCTTAAACTTATAATTCTACCCTTAATGAAAAGCTTTTATAACTACACAAATACTCTGGGCCCTTTTTGACTTATTTAGGACCACAAATTCCAAAAGTCTTCATTTTTTCTTAAACTCCGTGCTCAACTAAACAGGTTCACATAAATTGGAACGGAGGGAGTAATAAAGAACGATGATAGAGAAATGAACGAAGACCGCGCAGTTGGCAGAACAATGGATCGAAGATAAATAAGTACTAACACTTTGCACACTTGAAAACAACTAATAGTATACAGTTAATTGGAAATTAAAGTAATTAAATTTGGAGTTAAACTCAAAATAGGAGAAAAATGAAACAAAAAGAAGGCAAACCCTATTCTTACTACCTTTGACGTTGGAGTTGAGAATAGTAAGCAGCAGAAGGAAAAAAGGGACGAAGACAAAGTAGGTTATAGGTTGGAGATTTGGAGTTAAAAAATAAAAAGGTAAAGGGTAAAACATAATTTTAAAGTAATAAGTTAGGACATAATTGGAAAGAAAAATAGGAAACAATCCCACCACACTAAATCGGTTGTTTCAAAAAATGGGACTCTTCATTGTTCCGGAACAATGAATTTAACAATACAATACAATCAATTTTGACTAAACAATCAAAATAAATATTGTTTAGGGATAACAATACAATACGATACAATAGATTACAACCATCCAAACAAGCGGTAAACTCGATTTAGGTGGCCCTTAGATACCGAATCGAATATATTCATTTAAGAGCACGTTTGGCTTAGCAAATTTAAAGTGCCGATAAGCATTAAGTGCTGAAAAGTACTTGTAATTAAGTGCTAAAATTGATTTAATAAATAAGCAGTTACGTGTTAGATAAAAGTTCTGAAACTAATAATAAGCAGCTGAAATGTTTGATAAAAAAATGTTGATAAGATTTTTTTTCTGTTAAAATAACTCAAATATCCTTTAAGTTATTCGCACTAATTAGAAACTGATTATTGCAAGATTTAAATTCATTGTTTCATATAGAAATTATTTTATGTTTCATTTTACTTTTTATTTTAAAATTTTATTAGAAAATATTATTTTATATAAATATAAATTATTTTATATTAAACTAACATACATTAATTAATAACTTGAATAAAGTTTGTTAGTAAAAATATACTTAGATAGTGCACAAAATATTCATATAGAAAATAAAAGTATTCAAGAGTTCTTTATTTCTAATAAAAACAAACATCCATTATACGAGAATATACAAACTTGCTCATTCCAGATAATGCCAAGAAAAATCTAATTATTGTTAATGGCAAGAAGGTGACGGGACAATTGATGGGTTAGGAATTATGTTTCAAATAAAGAAGTATTTTAGGAATATAATATAAAAATCTTGGTCATATTAAAAGTGCTTATAAGCTAAAAAATCATAAGTCGGGGGTGACCAACTTATGACTTTTTACCTTATTTTTGACTTATAAACACTTTTAATTTTACCAAAATAGATAAGCCAAAAAAAGTGCTTATAAACTGGTCAAATTGGTTTTACCAACTTATAAGCTTAGCCAAACCCTCTGACTCGTCTTTAAATCTTAATTTGCTAAGCGACCTAATGTTGACAAGGTTTCGCGTGATATCGATTTAAACTTCTCCAAAAAACATTTGAAGAATAAATCTAATAATACCGCAGTTCCTAATTGCATTTTCACTTAGAGCCTGTTGGGAAGGGTGGATTGCATAAATAGGATCAGAATTTGAGGAATAACTCAAGTAAGAAAAGTCTTGGAAAAATAACCTTCGATTAGAATTTGGGGAAGCATTTCCATGTGATGATCATCAGGATTTGCCATTCTGAATTTTTAATGGGATGATCATTAGAATTTGCCACAAAATATGGCAATTGCTAGAATTTTTTCATTTGGTGATCATCAAGATTTGTCATAAAACATGGCAATCGCTAGAATTTTTCATACGGTTATCACTAGGATTTGTCACAAAACATGACAATTGCCAGAAAAATTCTAGCGATCGCTAGAAGCGCTACCCAAAATTCTGCCCGAAGGCTATTTTTCCAGGATTTTTATTATCGGTGTTAAAATTTAAACAATGATCCTAAAAAGGTCCACCCAGCATAATTTTGTGTTTGGAATGATACATTGTAATTGAATTTGGTGTAGTTACTAGGATAATAATTACACAATATAGTAATTAAATAGGCCTATTTTGTTTGACGTAAGTAATTATAATATAATACATGTGTCACGTTGATTGCACAAGTGTAATTAGTAATTAATTTTTTTTTATTTTAAAATTAAATAACAACAAAAATTAAATAAATCTTTTTAGATGAACAAGTAAATAGACTTTAATTGAATATAAGAAATATTAAATTTTATATATTACTAGGTATTAAAAAGTTACTTTGTAATTACATTATGTAATTTACCAATAAATCTCACCTCCCCTTGAGAGTTGGAGAGTGTAATTGGTCCCCTTCAATTATACCAAATTTCATAATGACCAACTACTTAACCAAATAAAAAGTCCAAAATTGCGTAATTACACCCACGTCCAATTAAAACGTAGCTTTCCAAACATGCTCTTATTTTCCTCTCAAATAAAGTACATACATATTTCTCTCTTTTTTCTTCCTGTGATCATCAGTCCCCAGATACACAAGAACATACTGTTTTAAGCTCTGCTTGAAGTCGCCAGCTGAACTTGGCACACATACAAATTTAAAAACAAAAGTGTGCATCTGCTAAAATGAAGGAATATTTGACAGGAAACACTACTTGAATGAAGAAACCAAATATTCAACAAGAACCCGCTAAGTGCATGGATTTTGAGAGCAATATCCGAGTCAATGCATAAAAAAGGAATCCGATTAAAAGGGTTTAACAATGCTGAAGAAATTTCATAACCAATCAACCTACAAGTACTTTCTGGAAAGGCGTCTTACTGGATGAAGTTGGCAATGACAGCAGACGCAGGCCACATTTCAAGAGGATAAAGTACACTAAATATTGAAAGAAAAAAAGCTTCTACCATTCATATATGCTAACCCCCTATCGCACAACAGAAATTTAAGGACACAAAGACTATATCATAGAGTAAAATGAAAAGTACTCTCGGAACTCTGGATTCTTACACCTCATTCAGATTTTGAGCTGGAAAGATGCGAAGGTATTAACAAGACATAATGAGACATGGTTCATACACAGCGACACACGGTTCTTTAGGACACCTTCTTGCTATCAGAGCGTGACAATGTACGATCCAGTGATTGCAATTGAGAACGAAGATTTTGGTTTTCCTCAAGTAAGCGGTCATATTCAAGAAGAAATCCTTCTGACTGCTTTTTTAGAGCAACTGCATTGGCTTCAGCACCGCTTGCTTCTTTGGCCTTCTCCTGCAGTTCTGACTCCAGCTGTTTAATTTTTCCACGCAATGCACTTGCCTCTTCCTCCAAAGTTTTGATCTCCTCAGAAGCTCCACTTTTTCCATCCTCAAAGGCTCTGTTTTGCTTTTTCACAGCTTCCATGGTCTTCCTTCTCATACTAAGTTCTCTTATATAATGGTGTAGTCTATCGATCATGAAAGCGAGGAAGAGGGAGAATCCTGCATAAAAAAGTAATTGTGAAATCCAGAATGGGAAGGACACCAGAAGGAACTGGGAACAGAAGACAGAGATCAAGTGCAAGTCAGATGCTTTTCTCTGACACACGAAAGAAGCCTAAAAGGTTATACTTTTAAGCATGCTATACAATTGCAGCATTAATCCTTAAACAGTAAAATTCTCTAATAAAATAACTTCCAGTTTATTATAAGACCAGCCTGCAGAGAAACCTCAAAAGGAAAAGATATCAAGTTCATTGCAAGCGAGAAAGTACTTCTGAACCGCATTTTTCAAGTGCTTATCAATACACATCTATAAATACTTGGCATTACTATGTGCGGGAAAAAGAGAATATGTATCACAGTTCCTTTCACTTCTCATATCGGTAAAAGTGGAAACATAGCCATCATTAATAACATTTATGCACCATTATATAAGACGATTTGAAAAGAATCAATAGTTTGTACAAAACTACGTCTATGCAGATTATTCCAATTTTCCATCTTTGATCCATGAAAATTTCCCTCCTGATTCTTTTTCTTTTTTGATAACCAATAAATCCACGAGTAACCAGTGGCACACGGTTTGAAACTCGGTGGACGATGGACCCTTCCCTCTACCCTTCTACAGTGAAGCAACAAGCTTTTGTTTGACACATGGTTCAAACCCGTTACGTGCACCTAACACACACAACGCTCTTACCACTACACCAAATCCCTAAGAGCCCATTTCCCTTAGGATTCTTCCTAGCCTTAACTTTTTCTTCCTTTTGATTGAAAACTTTGAAACCAAACAAAGGGAAGATCAAGGAAGACTTTTACTTTGATGGTAAAAGTAGTTCATCTAGACAGTAAGAGCACAAATGTGACTTCACAGATGCAAATCTCAGAACTAACCCAGTTACAATGCCCTGGCTCTAATAAGCTGGCAAAACCCCTAAACGAAACATCTCAACTGAAGCAAAACTCTAGCTTAGGAATAGACAGCCCCGAAATACCAACACCAGAGCATGACACGTTTGAACGTGTACTTTTTCCTTTCATTTCATCGTAGTTGAATAATCAGTTGATTTAAACAACAGAAGGCAGAGTACCGACTTAAAACATAAAAGTAGGTTAAATTTGTGGTTGTGGACTTAAATGGTCATTGCACATATCGAGCAGTTGCTAAATGAAAGCATTAAAGACATTGTACTAATGAAAACTAAGTTTTTAATCAGAAACACCCTCCACAATCGGCATGTCTTTGTGAAAAATTAGTAAAACAAATCATTGTATACAAACGTTTAACATATAATTAAATACGAAATTATACTAAGCAATCGACAAGGCTATTTGAAGGTGCTTGCCGGGGCACGGAATTTAAGATGTTAAAGAAGACTCTTGACGTGTAAGCCAAATATATACAAAGTACCAAAATTATCCTTTCAGGGTGGTGAGAGCTCCACATATCTTTTCATTTTCTCTCCTTATAAAAGAATGAACTTTTATCTTTCTCAAAAAAATAAATGAATGACCTTTTATGTCTAGTGGGTCCAACAAATCATGTTATTAATAGTAAAATGGTAATGATCAGCTTAAATTGTTTCTAAAAAGAGAAAGATGTCATTCTATTTTGGGACAAACTAAAAAGGAAAGCATGTCACATAAAATAGGATTGAGGCAGTAGTTTTTTATCAACTGCTGACAAATGGCAATGTGCACTGACTGGCAAGATGGCACAGGTGGAGAAAACCATGCATAACTTTGCAAAGGGTGACTGTATAAGTCAAGATCTCCACATCCCCTCCCCCCCCCCCCCCCCCCCC